ACTGTTCAAGCGATAGTGGAGACTTCCAAAATGACACCCCATTCTCTAAATAGTGTGCTGGCTCTGCCAAACAATTATACACTATATAGGGAATAGGATGCAATTTCAGACAAAGCCATAAAATGGGAGAATGGGCTAGGACCCTCCTCATGAAACAAGACAGCCGATGACAGTGAAGTGCACTTAGATAGTGGAAGTGAAAGGAAGCTGGTGAATGGGTGATATTTTGGCTGAATAGTAACATATTGTAACTTACGAGAGGTCCGTTTGACTCAAAAGCGGGCAAACCGTTCACTCAAAAGCCTCATACTGAAAAGGTAAACAGTCCTATGGTGTGAACATTCATGCTCATTTCAAATAATGGGTAAAAAATCATATTACTTATTTTCACTGTCTTGTCTAACTTAGTAAACTAACCATAGCCACAGTGTTCAAATAATAATGACAGATTTATAACAGATTTACGTTTGATTGAACTTATACTTTACATAACCAATTAATCAGTTAAAGACAGTAAAACATTTTCAAAACACTGTTTTCCCATAAGTACACAAAAAAAATTGTAACTTACTGGCAGCCAGTTACCTGTAAGTTACTGTAAAAAAAATAAAGGTACAGTATGTTATCGTAAACTCCAAATGAACTTTGGTTTAACAGTACATTACTGTAAAGAGATGCAGCTACTGTAAAGAACTGTTAAACCAAAGTTTATTTGGAATTTATGTTAACATACTGTACCTTTTCTTTACAGTAACTTACAGGTAACTGGCTGCCAGCAAGTTGCTGTAAAAACAACAGGACTTTTTTACGGTGTATGTTTAGTTTGACAGATTTGGACAAAACCGCAACCAATGTTAATAACACTAAAGTTAATCATCTTAGGCCATTATGTCATTCCCCAAAGCGTGTCACTCCCCCAAATGCAATTTGTTCAGTACAACAAAACAAAAGAACCAACATAAAAAAGTCACACGCAAAAAGAGAGGAGAGAGGCAAGCAAGCAGGCACAAACAGGCATATGACACGTACACAAACATTACACCCGTCAAACTTACACAGATAGAGTACTGTAAAGACAGACAACAGTTAAATGGCACGATACTCAGTGCAGGTCAGGAGGACTCACAGGTCTGGTTTACATGCAGTAGGGAAGAGTACCTGTTTATTTGTGAGCAGCAAGAGGAGCTGGCCGGCTGGGGTATGGCTGGGGTATGGTGGTGGATCGGAGGGGAGGGGGGGGGGATAGTCCCGGTAACACTTTGTTTGGATAGTCCCCATACAGATTTTCATAGATGTTCAAACTGTTCAACAAACTATCCACTAACCCTAGTTCCACCCAGAACCCTGGCTGCATCCACAACCCTAACCCTAACAAGATAACAGAGATGCAATTGACAGTTTGTTGACAGTTTGAGCATCTATAGACCATCTATAGGGGACTATCTAAATAAAACGGGACCTACTGTACTGTACTAGAAAGGGCAGTGGCCAGACCACTATCCAGACAGTAACATCGAGATGGAAGGAAGACGACACCAAATGTGTAAAGTAAAGTGGGGTGAAGCACTGCATGCATGAGGTAGTGGGAGAGGAAGCTAAGGTGACAACTACTTCTACTAGATTTGAACACAAACTAATTTGCAAAATAGTAATATTATTGTGGTAACACTTTACTTGACACACAGCGTCATAACACGACATAACCATGTCATAATTAGGTGATAATGCCTGAGAAGCCGGTGTTTGGAGGATATATTGGCACGGGTGTTGTTAGGCCCGAGATGAAGTCACTTATTTTGTATATAGATAATTTCAGGGATCTATTATTTTAGCTCATTAAATTTATTCATACTACTTCATCCTTCCACAAGATATAGTCCCGACACAAATCTAGGGTTGCTACCCAAGCCGGCTGGTCATTTGTTCTATCGTTTCGGTTGCTAGAGACGCGACCCAGTCATTCAGTATTTCTGTTCTGTATCTATGGAAGCGACCCAGTCGTTCGTTCTAAATGTTCCATTGCCATACTGGCTGGCAACGTTCTTATCCCTTGCTTGCTAGCTAGCCAACTACGGCTAACTTATGTGGTGTCTAAGGAATGTATGACTTTGCTAACGTTTGCAAATGGTATCTTAGAGGATGTTGATTCAGCTTAGGGAAGCATCTGGGGAACAGTTCTATAGGGGCACTCTAAAACAGAGGAAGTCTGTTGTGTGGAGTCATGGGATTGGTCTGTAGGGGAAACCACCCATATCATGGTAAAGATTATAAATACTTGGTGGAGACAAAGGAGGACAGAACAACATATTATTTTGAGTCCGTTGTTCTCCAGATGCCTGCAGATGTCTGTAAACTTACGCTGAAATCCTTTGAAATAATAAACCTTTATAATCAAAGTACAGTGTAAGCGGACACCTTGTTCTCACAGCATAATTAGCATCATTATTTAGATACCACACTTACAGTCACGTCAAAAAGTGCAGTCAGAATAACAGCAAAGTAGCCACATTTGCATTTGTTTAAGCTGTTCTCTAGTGATATTTATTTGGATACATCCATAACAATGAGCTAAGGAGGCGCGATTTCACCTGGCATAGAAAATGTGCTCACTCGTCAGGACACTGTTGTTCAGAGGGTTGTTCAGAGGAGCTGCCAACAACACAGCTAACACAATCACTTCAAACTGAAGCTGGAAAGATTCGTTTCATTTTACCTTTTTTCAATTGACATTTCTTTGTATATATCAATACAAATGATGCCAGCTGATTCATGATTTCGACTGGCTGAGAAACGCTGCCTGCATGTCTGTCTCGTCTAGACTCCTGACACGTTCATTACTACGGGACAGCAGGAGATCGAATTTCAATATTGAAAGACAGACAGCGAGGTTTATACAAATCTCTGATGTTGAAAACGAAATGTTAGTCTAAAAGAAATGTGAGATAATGGCTAGATGCTTTTTATAGTGGAGATCAAGTTTAGAAAGTGCCTGGCTGGGCTGATGAGACAGTTGATTTCTCGAAGGTGAACCTTCGCCCCAGTCTGAGGTCCTGAGCGTGTAGATTGTATTGTGTGTAGATTGATGAGAAAAAAAAAATGTAATCAATTTTAGAATAAGGCTGTAACATAACAAAATGTGGAAAAAGTCAAGGGGTCTGAATACTTTCCGAATGCACTGTATATTTAGACCTGTTGTGACATATATTGCGTTATTTTATGGCTGGTTATGACACCTACATAAGAGTGTCAAGACCAACAAAACCTACCACACAAGGCAAGACATTCCATTACACCATAGCCTACTTGTCAACAGTATGTTTATGTTATTTTAACATTTTCTGAAATTTACCATATTAAATGATCATTGTAATTGCGCACACATTGATGTCAGACATGCACCTACCCCAAAGCTATGTTTCTGATGACTGAGATGAATGCAGGAGCAGATTTTAGGAGCAAGACAAGACACCCTCTTTGTGACTGATGACTGACATAAGGGCATGTACGTGATAGGCCTATCTGGCTTATATGATTATGATGGTCATAATACTTCTTGACAGTGTCATAATGTGCATTTTCGTCTCCAAGTAAAGTGACACAGGATGGTCATAATGCATTATGACAGTGATGAAAAAAAAACATGACTAAAGATTTCATTACAACAACAACAAACTTTCAAATGAAAGGAAACTTCTTGGCAGGGAAACCGGTGTTTGGAGGATATATTGGCACGGGTGTTGTAAGGCCCGAGACGAAGTCCTATACAAATCTCCACTGTTGCAAATTAAATGTTAGTCTAAAAGAAATGTGGGATAATGTCTAGATGCTTTTAATAGTGGAGATCAAGTTTATAAATTGCTTGGCTGGGCTGATGTGGTCGAATACAAAACAGTGTAGTTATTCCCTCCGTAAGGCAATCAAACAGGCAAAATGTCAGTACAGAGACAAAGTGGAGTCGCAATTCAACGGCTCAGATACGAGACATATGTGGCAGGGTCTACAGACAATCACCGATTACAAAGGGAAAACCAGCCATGTCGCGGACTCAGACGTTTTGCTCCCAGACAAGCTAAACACCTTCTTCGTTCACTTTGAGGATAACACAGTGCCACCGACGTGGCTCGCTCCCAAGGACTGTGGGCTCTCGTTCTCCGTGGCCGACGTGAGTAAGACATGTAAGCGTGTTAACCCTCGCAAGGCTGCCGGCCCAGACGACATCCCTAGCCGCGTCCTCAGAGCATTCGCAGACCAGCTGGCTGGAGTGTTTACGGACATATTCAATCTCTCCCTATCCCAGTCTCCTGTCCCCACTTGCTTCAAAATGTCCACCATTGTTCCTGTACCCAAGAAAGCAAAAGGTAACTGAACTAAATTACTATCGCCCAGTAGCCCTCACTTCTGTCATCATGAAGTGCTTTGAGAGGCTTGTTAACTCTTCGGAGTCTGGAGCTTTTTTGGCCGTTTTTGGGTACCTTCAATTTTGCCCTGATATACTACATAAAGAAATGTTTACCAGACCAATGTTGGGTATCTTTTTTTTCAGCACAACCTCACCTATATGATCTGTTAGTAAGTTTTTCACTTTGACATACTATTTCAACACACTGGACCCAAACACACACAGAAAACACAAAGTCCGTTTAGAAAAAAGATGGTTTTTTTATTGTAAAACCCTCAAACATGGTGAACCAAGCATTTAAAAAGCTTCAAATTGAACCACAAGGTGCAAATATGAACATATAAAAGTATTTTGGTGATATATACAAGCAATAAATAACTATTTACAATAAAAAGTAGGTATAACCACTGGCGTTTTTCTTCTATTCTAACCCTAAACCTTTTTGTGCCACTCCTCAAAACAGTTTCTGTCCAAAATGAAAAAAAAAGCTTCAAATTGAACCACAAAGTGCAAATATGAACATATAAAAGTATTCTTGAGATATATACAAGCAATACACAACTATTTACAAAAAAAGTAGGTATAGCCACTGGCCTTTACCCTATTTGTGCCACTCTTCAAAACAGTTCCTGTCCACAATGACACAGAGAGCCACATCACAGGCCTTGCACTTCCATGGTGTGACAAACCTCTTCTTGTCAACTTGTTTACAGCGTTGACAAACCCTGCGGCCTGCTGTGGCTTTGTCTTTGGCCTCTGCAACATTGGCAATGGCCACAGAAACATGGCTGGTGCTTTTTTGAAGTGGAACCCCTGTCTGGGTCACTCCGCACAGCTGGGCCACAAGTTCTGCCACAAAGTTCTTGTGCGTCATGGGTGTGACCTGTTGGGTCGCACTGATGTCACAGTGCAGGATGTATGCATTTGTTGTTCCCATGTCCAAAAAATGCAGGAAGAGGGTACGGTACCAGCGAGCAGTTCTGCGATGGGTTGAGTAATACTGGAGAAGCTGGTCTGACAGGTCAACCCCTCCCATGTACTTATTGTAGGCCATGATGGGGGTAGGGCAGGGAATGTCTTTTGCTACCCAGCGTCCAGGTCCTTCCTTCACCTTCCTCTTGATTGTCTCGCCCGAAAACGCTGGGTGGATTGTGGAGCACACCGACACCTCCCGCGTATCCATCCACTTCACAAAGACCAGGCGATCCTCTCTGATCCATCTCACAGACCCCCTCTTCGATTTGCTGGTGAGGGCATTTTCTCTGCCACTAGGACACCCTTTTCTGTTGCTTCTGTAGGTCCCACAGGCTCCAAACTTCATACTTCCCAAACTCAGGAACAGTTTTGGGCTGGTGTAGAAATTGTCCATATAAATATGGTATCCTGTACCAAGATGTGATGGCTGAATGAGGTCCATAACAGCATCATATGAAAGTCCATGCACGCTGGGTGTGTGTGCTTTCCCAACATACACGTTGAAGTTTAGAGTGTAGCCATTGTTAGACTCTGCCAACACAAAGAGCTTGATCCCCCATTTGTTAGGCTTGTCCTTCATGTACTGGGTCATGCCAGTTTTGGCTTTTGTAGCCACCATCCTCTCGTCGACTGACAGTTCCTTCTTAGGATGGTAATGAGCCTGGCAGGCAGTGCGAATGTCGTCCATCAGAGGTTTGACCCTGAACAGTTTGTCATGCTGGGGTGTACCTTTGCGCTGGTCATTTATGACATCCTCCTCTGGATCACTTAGGTGGATGTTCCATGAGATGGACCGGAATCTGTCTCTTGGCATGACCTTCGCTGGCAATGAAACAGACAATATGTGGCTTTGTTTCCAGTAGTCCTGGATACTAGGCAGAGTCACCAATGAGGTGTAGATGAGGAGACCCAGAAATCTGTGCAGTTCCTCCACATCAACGTCAGTCCACTGATATTTGCTCCCCTTCTGCTGATTTCTTGCTGCCTGTTTGTTGGTGTTTCTGCAGATTGTCCTCATTGTATCTGCGGCGAAGTAGAGCAGGAAGAGGTCCTTTGGTGTGTGCCCTGAATGCAAATCCACCTGGGCTCCTAGTGGTCTGCGGGGCATGAACCTACTGGCTTGTGGGGCAGTGTCAGGATCAGTCTCTGTTTTCCATGGCTCAGAGCTCTGTTCTGGCTGTGCTGCTGACTGGGCTGGAGATCTTGACCTGGTCTTGGCCTGATCCTTCCTTCCACGCCCCCTCTGTGATGGCCTCCGTCGGCTTGTTGTGGGGGTGGGGGCTGTTGATGGCCCAGGCTGCTCGTCGTCGTCGTCGTCACTATACAAAACAGATAAACGGATTCAAGATTATTCAAAGTTCAAGATGTTCATTGGCATTTGCACTACAGTGAAGTAGAATAGAATACTATAGTAAGATAAACGAAAGCAATAAAACAAATTCATTTTAGAAAAATGTTTGTCTTCTTACCTCACGTTTTCAGCAACAAAATCAGGGTCCTCGAAGTCATCCTGGCCACTCTCATTGTCTGACGACGAACTTTCCAAAGTTTCTTCATCGCTCATTTGGAATAACAAGTCGACGGCTTGTTCAACGTGAAGTGTGCGCCTCATATTGCTTCACAAAAACGATACTGCTGACAATAAAACTCTTGAAATACTAACAATTGAAATACTAACTCGTGAAAAACTCTCCAAAACTACTCATGAACTGAACTAATTCCTCTCGTTCGTTCTTTCGCAATGGCTAGTTGTCATGGGAATGAATGTTTATATACTCGTGTGCATCCTGAAGAACCGGGTTAGCACAAGCACACGTTTTTTTCCGTTCCTTTTTATCACAAAAGACGACAAAGTTATTATAATAAATGCAAAGCGCTCATAAAAGAGCGCATATTTTGACGCACTTTTTTCATGGAATTGAAATTATCATAACTTTGGTTTTAGTTGGTGTATTTACATGAAACAAACACTCAAAACGTAGCTTCGGGTCTCCATTTCTGCATGAAATCGACGGCAGCCCTCTGCGTCACTTGGTTTGGATGCTGCGCGGTCCTAAAGCCGGCCCGCGATTTGAACGCGCCGAAGCGTTCGCCGACTCGGAAGAGTTTTAAGGATCATATCACCACTACCTTACAGTGAGGGAAAAAAGTATTTGATCCCTTGCTGATTTTGTACGTTTGCCCACTGACAAAGAAATGATCAGTCTATAATTTTAATGGTATGTTTATTTGAACAGTGAGAGACAGAATAACAACAAAAAAATCCAGAAAAACGCACGTCAAAAATGTTATACATTTATTTTCATTTTAATGAGAGAAATAAGTATTTGACCCCCTCTCAATCAGAAAGATTTCTGGCTCCCAGGTGTCTTTTATACAGGTAACGAGCTGAGATTAGGAGCACACTCTTAAAGGGAGTGTTCCTAATCTCAGCTTGTTACCTGTATAAAAGACACCTGTCCACAGAAGCAATCAATCAATCAGATTCCAAACTCTCCACCATGGCCAAGACCAAAGAGCTCTCTAAGGATGTCAGGGACAAGATTGTAGACCTGGAATGGGCTACAAGACCATCGCCAAGCAGCTTGGTGAGAAGGTGACAACAGTTGGTGCAATTATTCGCAAATGGAAGAAACACAAAATAACTGTCAATCTCCCTCGGCCTGAAGCTCCATGCAAGATCTCACCTCGTGGAGTTGCAATGATCATGAGAACGGTGAGGAATCAGCCCAGAACTACACGGTAGGAACTTGTCAATGATCGCAAGGCAGCTGGGACCATAGTCACCAAGAAAACAATTGGTAACACACTACGCCGTGAAGGACTGAAATCCTGCAGCGCCCGCAAGGTCCCCCTGCTCAGGAAAGCACATATACAGGGCCGTCTGAAGTTTGCCAATGAACATCTGAATGATTCAGAGGAGAACTGGGTGAAAGTGTTGTGGTCAGATGAGACCAAAATCGAGCTCTTTGGCATCAACTCAACTCGCCGTGTTTGGAGGAGGAGGAATGCTGCCTATGACCCCAAGAACACCATCCCCACCATCAAACATGGAGGTGGAAACATTATGCTTTGGGGGTGTTTTTCTGCTAAGGGGACAGGACAACTTCACAGCATCAAAGGGACGATGGACAGGGCCATGTACCGTCAAATCTTGGGTGAGAACCTCCTTCCCTCAGCCAGTGCATTGAAAATGGGTCGTGGATGGGTATTCCAGCATGACAATGACCCAAAACACACATCCAAGGCAACAAAGGAGTGGCTCGAGAAGAAGCACATTAAGGTCCTAGAGTGGCCTAGCCAGTCTCCAGACCTTATTCCCATAGAAAATCTGTGGAGGGAGCTGAAGGTTCGAGTTGCCAAACGTCAGCCTCGAAACCTTAATGACTTGGAGAAGATATGCAAAGAGGAGTGGAACAAAATCCCTCCTGAGATGTGTGCAAACCTGGTGGCCAACTACAAGAAACGTCTGGCCTCTGTGATTGCCAACAAGGGTTTTGCCACTAAGTACTAAGTCATGTTTTGCAGAGGGGTCAAATACTTATTTCCGTCATTGAAATGCAAATCAATTTATAACATTTTTGACATGCGTTTTTCTGGATTTTTTTGTTGTTATTCTGTGTGGTGAAGAAGGCGCAACAGAAATTCGGCTTGGCCCCTAAGACCCTCAGAAACTTTTACAGACGCACAATTGAGAGCATTCTGTTGGGCTGTATCACCGCCTGTTACGGCAACTGCACTGCCTGCAACCGCAGGGCTCTCCAGAGGGTGGTGCGTTCTTCCCAATGCATCACCGGGGGCACACTGCCTGCCCTCCAGGACACCTACAGCACCCGATTTCACAGGAAGGCCAAAAAGATCATCAAGTACATCAACCACCTGACCCATGGCCTGTTCACCCTGCTATCATCCAGAAGGCGAGGTCAGTACAGGTGCATCAAAGCTGGGACCGAGAAACTGAAAAACAACTTCTATCTCAAGGCCATCAGACTGTTAAATAACCATCACTAGCCGGCTACCACCCGGTTACTCAACCCTGCACCTAAGAGGCTGCTGCCCTATATACATAGACATGGAATCACTGGCCACTTTAATAATGGAACACTAGTCACTTTAATAATGTTTACACACTGCTTTACTCATCTCATATGTATATACTGTATTATATTCTACTGTATTTTAGTCAATGCCACTCCGACATTGCTCGTCCTAATATTCATATCTTTCTTAATTCCATTATTTTACTTTTAGATGTGTGTATTGTTGTGAATTGTTAGATATTACTGCACTGTTGGAACTAGGAACACAAGCATTTCGCTACACCCGCAATAACATCTGCTAAAAATGTGTATGTGACCAATAACATTTGATTTGATGAGACAGTGGATTGCGCAGTCAGATGGAACAGATTAAATCGACATTTTAAAGTCATAGATTTAGCCGGTGGTAACTTGTGGAATAGACACCGGCTGGAATGCGGTTTTACACTCACTTACAGTTAGTGAGTGCATACATTTTCATACTGGCCCCCCGTGGGAAACGACCCTGGCGTTGCAAGCGCCATGCTCTACCAACTGAGCTACAGGGGACTAATAATGTGTTATGATGCTTGGTGTGAAGTAAAATGTTACCATTATTGTTATGTATTTGGATTAATAATGAATTATTCCCCAATTAAAGTTTGTATTCCCCAAGCATTTTAAATACTTGTTCTACTGCAACAGATTACAGTTGTTATAGATTATTCAACCAATGAGAAGCAACTATTGTTGGCCTTTAGCTGTATATCATGTTAGACAAATAAACAAACTTCCTAATTAAGCATAATGGTCTTTAAAATGGAGAAACCTTTATGTTAAAAGTCCCTCGAGATTCCAAAGGCCTTGGATATAGATGTGCATAAATAAGGGTACAGAAATACAACAGAGCGCTCAACTGAAGTAATATTTATTAAGCATATTTGAATAATAGAAAATCCCCATACATTTGGGGTCATTTTTCAACATGACACTATTTTGGAGTCCCCCAAAGCATGCAATAATAGCAATAATTCTCTGTACATTATTCAGATTCATTTTTACAACAAAAAATGCATTGTTCAAAAAACTAAATCACAAATAATAGAAGAATACTATATTTTATTATTATTTTTGCCACTGAGAGTGGGTGTGCCATCTCTTCAGATGTGGCAGTCTGATCACTCATACCTTGGCCTTATTCTAGTGGAGAAAGAAGAAACATTGGCAGCTTCCGGTTGTAGTAACTCGTTTGAGAGCGCTTTTGTCTCTACATTTATCAAAACACAGATAGACAGAGAAGTGGGTTGGCAAAGCTAGGGGAAGACAGGAGTTAGGTCAGACACAAACAGAGAGGGGGACTGGGAGCAAGAGAGACACAGCAAGGCACATGTAAAGAAGGAGACATTTTGTTTGCAGCGGGGAAGGAGTTTTGGGTAGTACAGTTTGGCCGTAAATGTCACTTTTTCTCCCTTTAGCCAATTGTAATAATTGGGTCAATCTAATAGAATTTCAAGGGGAATTCAAAGATAGTGTTGTGATAGGAAATAGCCTAATACTTAGCGGCAATCATTTCTGATTTGGACAGGACAGGGGTTAGTATCGACAGGTACATACAGACAAGCAAACAGACTAGCGTCGTTCTTTATTCAGCACATAGAAATAACAACAGACAGACATCTTTTATCCTGCCTCAGATACAGCATCATGCTTTTTCATTTCCTTTCTTTATACAAGTCTTTTATTACAAAGACTAAAGTACAAGAAGGCTGAACGAAGTAACAATAATGAATCAACCCCCTGTCCCTTTTAAAGGTTGCTCATTTCATGTGTAGTGCAAATATGTGTCAAAATAGCAAGCGACACAGTACATGCAAGCTTATTTATTACGAAGCTCTAAATGGCTATTGATCCAATTCAATTATTGCCATAATTTGCGGTTGTGCGGTTGGCAAATGATGACTCTTTTAAAGGCATCTGACCCATTCATTGTCTCCAAGGACTGTGCAGACCAGAATTACCTGTTTGTTCTGTGACATATGGTAATTGCACAGTGGGACACGATTAGATTGAAAGGTTTACAGCTAGTAAACATTTAATGATGTTGCTCCCAAATCATCATCCCTTTGTATGCACAGCAAGAGACACTGTCTAGTCAATTATTAGAGTTCTTTGTAAACAGTTGGCAGCCAGGCAGCACTGATTGGAGGGGATGAGAGAGAATGAGAAGAGAGGGTGTTGCTTTGGCAACATGGTTTACCCACCATGGGCCCTATTCAGACTTGAGATAAGTTGACTTAACATGGACCTAAGTCAAACAATGTTGAACTAACTCCATGTTTTCTTGACTTAAGTCCTACTTGGCAAAGGTCTGAATCGGGCCCCATGAAATGTAGCACCTTTGTCGTGGAATGGCAGAGGTGTAGAACAGGTATCAGTTGTCTTTTCTTTCATGCATGAACGCCTGAACGATAACCAGAGCCTTGCATCTCTTTCTTTCAGGGATGAGTTTTTTTTTTTTACCCATTCAGCCTTGATAAAGTACAGTATGTTGATATTCAGACAAAATAACAATACTCAGAGGTGTAGCATCTGGATATCAGCGCAAGGTGTCTTTCACACGGCCTGCTAGTTAAGACCTCAGACATCATAAAACATATTACTTTGTGGCTAATAATAGTAATAATAACATTATTATACAAATAATTGGGTCTTTAAGGTGCGTTTTGATCAACTGATATAATCAATAGGCATAATAATCATCCATTTTATTTAATGGTACATTTATGTACAGTACATATTCATTGCCATCTATTTCATTGGTCGCCTGCTCTCATTATATGTTCAAATGAAAAATGAAAATTTGCATTTGAGTTATTTCACTAAATGTGATACATAACCTCTCATTTAAAGAGGGATATTAGAAGATACCTGAAGGACCTCACAGTCTGTAAAGTAAAGTCACTGTCTGAAGCATAAGAAGACACAGTATACTGTAGATTAACTTTAACTTTTTGATCATTGTACGTTGTATCTTTACATTATTAAAACAATCTCCTTTGGATTACCATTTAGATTTACACTGATAGTATAAATCCTTCATCTTTCAACCTTCATTCTGCTGGAGAACATGAATATTCTATTTAAAAACATTTGTATGATTTTATTGTATATTTGCAGAGGAAGAAATCCCTATTCAATATAAAAGACATGTACATGCATGAAAGACAAGCAAAAGATTTGACTCATTTTCCTCCTCAGACAAAGTCCATCATTCCAATGATTTTAACAAGGATGGATCAGGATGGTGTCCTTTAGCGAGGGGTTAGTTGGTTCTGCTTTGTGGTTCTGGTTCCACCAGTGCTTGGCCTGGGAACTGCAGCGTAGCGTGGAAGTGCAGGGTGTGGAGGGAGGGAGAGGATAGGAGGAGAGACAAGTCTTTCCCTTGGTGGGATGGAAGGGGGAGGATGGTGGAGGGGAGGGGGGGGGGGAATAGGGAAATGGACTGGTAAGCTCAGGTGGAGAGGGGAGTGCTGTGGTGGGTTAGAGAGAGGACGAGAGAAGAGGGGTGAGGGTTAGAGAGAGGGCAAGAGATGAAGGGTGAGGGTTAGAGAGAGGGCAAGAGAGGAGGGGTGAGGGTTAGAGAGAGGGCGAGAGAGGAGGGGTGAGGGTTAGAGAGAGGGCAAGAGAGGAGGGGTGAGGGTTAGAGAGAGGGCAAGAGAGGAGGGGTGAGGGTTAGAGAGAGGGCGAGAGAGGAGGGGTGAGGTTAGAGAGAGGGCAAGAGAGGAGGGGTGAGGGTTAGAGAGAGGGCAAGAGAGGAGGGGTGAGGTTAGCGATAGGGCAAGAGAGGAGGGGTGAGGGTTAGAGAGAGGGCAAGAGAGGAGGGGTGAGGTTAGAGAGTGGGCGGGAGAGAAAGGGTGAGAGTGACTGGCAAGGAGGGCTGATGATGAGGGATTGCAGAGGTGCCTGGCAGGCAGTCAGTCCTATTGCAGCAGCAGCAAGCTGAGTCTGTGTCTGTCTGTCTGTCTGTCTGTCTGTCCCTTCTCACACTGTTGAAATCAATTTCGGAACTGTTCCCCCTTCGGAACTGTGGAACAAAGAGAAGGAGAAGCTTCCAGGTAGGTGTGGTATATAGGCACTCAAAGAAACAACAGTGGAGCAACACAACCAAATACAGTTGGCCAATCTACAGGCATATACTGTAGTTTGGCCAACTTTGGAGCTGGGTGCCATGTTGCTGCTCTGTCTGAACATTCCCTTCATCCATTCACGATGATTATTTGAATATCAGAGTATTTCATACAGTAAACATAACATTTCCCCCAGAGGTATAGGGAGGAGACAGTAAAACGTCTTCAATCTCATTTCTCTGACATGAACTGACAGCCTTTCACAGTCAATGTTTACTGCAGACCTGAGTTCAAACAGTATAGAAAACACATACTACATGGACCCAGGTCTAGTATACTGTAGTTTACACATGGACACGGAGCACAGCGTGGGGAGCAGAGGGGATAGTAGTAATACTATGGAAGCGCTAGCTAGCTGCATGACGCGTGGAAGGTCAAAATGGGAGCATGTAAGCTTGAGGCTTTTCCCTGACTTCAAATTTAAAAACATAAAAACTAAATGTAAAAAGAACCAAAATGAAACTTAACGATAAAAGCTAAAGCAAAACATATGTTTCAAAGTAAAAGGAAAAAACATTGAGGGAAAATACTTATTTGACCCATTAGGATAAATGGGATAAGGATAAGTGATTCCCATTGGTCCAACATGGGTTGAGGTGGAACACCATTGGGATTTTGGGTTCCAGGTCTAGAATCTCACCTGTTACTGTGATTGGCTGGCCCAACTGTCGGTAGCAAACCAACCTAAACCAACCTTTCTATCCCACATGATATTATCACATAACCATGATAATATTGTAGCTAAGTCTCACTCAAATTAGTCGGGGAAAAAACAGAAACACAAATAGGAAACCATTCAAATTATATGGAAAATAACACAACAAAAACCTGATGTGTCCTTCTTTGTAGTTTGACAGTTGATGTTGTAAAGTTGGAGTTCCTATCAGTGGAATGACCTGCCTACTTGTTCTGGCTACTCTTTGATACTGTATATGTAATGCATTCCCAGTCTTTCTAGTGCAATCCTGTCCAAACCTTATCAATTCAGTATCACAATCAAAGGTATTTTTTATCTATATAGAGAAAAGTGAGCTTTACCTTGTTGAAAAACGTTGCTCATAGTCTTCAAGTCCTTGCTGTTGAGAAAAAGACAAACCACTTTTCAGCCATCAAGTCATTGGCACTTTTGTGTCACACTGGAAAATTGAAAAAAATATAACAGTATTGCTTTATTGGCAATCCAAAACAGTAGCAATTGATTTGCTGGCTATATTGTACCGCCATGTTAGACAAGGTAGACAGACAGGTAGGCTACTGCAGTAGTTTATGGTCCAATGTATCTCAGTCGGTAGCATGTGGTGCTTACAATGCCAAGAATCGTGGGTTTGATTCCTGCTAGGGCCACTATTTAGAAACATTTATGCACACAGGACTGTAAGTTGCTTTGGATAAAAGCATCTGCTAAATGGCTTATATAAATGGCCCCGTGTAGCTCAGTTGGTAGAGCATGGCGCTTGCAACGCCAGGGTTGTGGGTTCGATTCCCACGGGGGACCAGTATGAAAAAAAAAAAAAAAGTATGCTATCGCTAACTGTAAGTCGCTCTGGATAAGAGCGTCTGCTAAATATGTAAAATGTAAATATTATCAGTAATTGAAGTGTTGACAGTTGCCATACTAATATGAGCCAGTAGGGGGCACCAGCAGAACACCACTGCCTGTAGTCAGAGTGATACGGCTGTAGAACTATAGAACTGTAGAACTAACAGAACTGTCTGTTGTAACTATCTCTATTCTCTCAGAACAACACTAGAGACATATCCCTGAAATGATCTGAGGTGGGAAAATAAGTTGTTACGTGACTATCTGAGCAATTAGAGACTATTATCATGCCCACGTACAGCCCCTCTCCGCCTCCTCCTACCCAAAAGCCCTGTAAAGGGTTGAGTTTTGGTGTTAGATAATGTGACACAGCCCCCGCTCACTCTAGCCTCAACGACAGTGTGTGTGTCTCCCGTCAGCTGCGCTAGTCCCTCTTCATGTTATCAGCGGGCTCCTATCACAACTACTTTCGGCAGTACCAGAGGCAACCGAACGGCAAGCAGCCTTCTCCAATCTGGGCTCTGTCATCTCTGTGAGGCCAGTCACACACACGCACACACAAAGACACTCAGATTCAGAAACACATGCTCGCACACACACCCTCAGACAAACACACACACACACAAACACAGTGTGTGAGGCAGAGGGGAACTGATCCACTGTTTATGTAAGTTAATGGGCCAGAACGTTGTGGGAAAGCTGTGTTGAGTGAGACTGGGGACCTGGTGTACTGGTAGAACACACAGCCTGTCATATTGATGGTTGACTCCTCCTATAAATACTGAACAAAAATATAAACGCAACATGTAAAGTGCTCGTCTTATGTTTCATGAGCTGAAATAAAAGATCCCAGGAATGTTCCAAAAGCACAAAAAGCTTATTTTATTAGTTTACATCCCTGTTAGTGAGCATTTCTCCTTTGCCAAGATAATCCATCCACCTGACAGGTGTGGCATATCAAGAAGCTGATTAAACAGCATGATCATTACACAGGTGCACCTTGTGCTGGGGACAATAAAAGGCCACTCTAAAATGTGCAGTTTTGTCACACAACACAATGCCACAGATGTCTCAAGTTTTGATGGAGTGTGCAATTGGCATGCTGACTGCAGGAATTGTCACCAGAGCTGTTGCCAGTGAATTGAATGTTCATTTCTCTACCATAAGCCGCCTCCAACGTTGTTTTAGAGAATTTGGCAGTATGTCCAACTGGCCTCACAACCGCAGACCACGTGTAACCACACCAGCCTAGGACCTCCACATCCGGCTTCTTCACCTGCGGGATCATCTGAGACCAGCCACCCGGACAGGTGACAAAACTGAGGAGTATTTCTGTCTTTAATAAAGCCCTTTTGTGGCTTTATTAAACTTATTCTGATTGGCTGGACCTGGCTCCCCAGTGTTGGGCCTATGCCCTCACAAGGCCCACCCATGGCTGTGACCCTGCCCAGTCATGTGAAATCCATAGATTAGGGCCTAATAAATGTATTTCAATTGACTGATTTTCTCATATGAACTGTAACTAAATACAATTGTTGAAATTGTTGCATGTTGCGTTTATATTTTTGTTCAGTATATTTGGGCTAACTAAGTGAGCTGGAGTGGTATATGTACAGTCGTGGTCAAAAGTTTTGAGAATGACACAAATACACATTTTCACAAGGTCTGCTGCCTCAGTTTTGATGATGGCAATTTGCATATAATCCAGAATGTCATGAAGAGTGATCAGATTAATTGCAATTCATTGCAAAGTCCCTCTTTGCCATGAAAATGAACTTAATCCCCCAAAAAACATGTCCACTGAATTTCAGCCCTGCCACAAAAGGACCAGCTGCCATCATGTCAGTGATTCTCTCATTAACACAGGTGAGAGTGTTGACGAGGACAAGGCTGGAGATCACTCTGTCATGCTGATTGAGTTAGAATAACAGACTGGAAGGAGGGTGGTGCTTGAAATCTTTGTTCTTCCTCTGTTAACCATGGTTCCTGCAAGGAAACACATGCCATCATCATTGCTTTGCACAAAAAGGGCTTCACAGGCAAGGGTATTGCTGCTAGTAAGATTGCACCTAAATCAACCATTTATCGGATCATCAAGAACTTCAAGGAGAGAGGTTCAATTGTTGTGAAGAAGGCATCAGGGCGCCCAAGAAAGTCCAGCAAGCGCCAGGACCGTCTCCTAAAGTTGATTCAGTTGCGGGATCGGGGCACCACCAGTGCAGAGCTTGCTCAGGAATGGCAGCAGGCAGGTGCGAGTGCATCTGCACGCACAGTAAGGCGAAGACTTTTGGAGGATGGCCTGGTGTCAAGGAGGGCAGCAAAGAAGCCAGGAAAAACATCAGGACAGACTGATATTCTGCAAAAGGTACAGGGATTGGACTGCTGAGGACTGGGGTAAAGTCATTTTCTCTGATGAATCCCCTTTCTGATTGTTTGGGGCATCCGGAAAACACCTTGTCCACCTTGAAGACAAGGTGAGCGCTACCATCAGTTCTGTGTCATGCCAACAGTAAAGCATCCTGAGACCATTCATGTGTGGGGTTGCTTCTCAGCCAAGGGAGTGGGCTCACTCAGAATTTTGCCTAAGAACACAGCCATGAATAAAGAATGGTACCAACACATCCTCCGCGAGCAACTTCTCCCAACCATCCAAGAAAGTTTGATGACGACCAATAATGGAGCACCTTGCCATAAGGCAAAAGTGATAACTAAGTGGCTCGGGGAACAAAACATCAACATTTTGGGTCCATGGCCAGGGAACTCCCCAGACCTTAATCCCATTGAGAACTTGTGGTCGATCCTCAAGAGGCGGGTGGACAAACAAAACCCCACAAATTCTGACAAACTCCAAGCATTGATTATGCAAGAATGGGCTGCCATCAGTCAGGATGTGGCCCATAAGTTAATTGACAGCATGCCAGGGTGGATTGCAGAGGTCTTGAAAAAGAAGGGTCAACACTGCAAATATTGACTCTTTGCATAAACTTAATGTAATTGTCAATAAAAGCCTTTGACACTTATGGAATGCTTGTAATTATACTTCAGTATACCATAGTAACATCTGACAAAAATATCTCATAACACTGAAGCAGCGAACTTTGTGAAGACCAATACTTGTGTCATTTTCAAAACTTTTGACCACGACTGTACAGTATTGAATGTACTGTATATATAATACTAATATATAATAATATATGCCATTTGGAAGACGCTTTCCTTCAAAGTGACTTACAGTCATGCATGCATTCAGAAGACCACCCGTATGTACATGCAGCATGGGCACGGGATATTTATGTCATCATTTTATGTGCATTTCACAGCATGGGGACAGGGTATTTATGTCATCATTTTATGTGCAGTTAGTCAAGTAATTAAAATAAGAAATACCTGCACATTTGAGATGCTTTCACAGTTTCAATGTTTGTGCATATAAACCTTCTGTGTGTATGTGTGTGTGTGTCTGTGTGCGTGTCTGTGTGTGTGTCTGTGTGCGTCTGTGTGTGTGTGTGTGTGTGTTGTTCTTGTTGTTTACCTGTGAGAAGCCTGGCCCTGCCACGCTGTATGGGCGTTGTTGTCTGCTGTGTGCCATGGCAGCGCTCTGTGCCAGCAGGCGAGATGACATACCGTAGTCAGGGGTAGGGACACCGGCCATGTCCTCTCTCTCCAACAGGTTGCCCGTGCTACTGCTCTTACCATGGTGGAGACTGGAAACAGACATAGAAGTAGAGTCATTCTATCATTATATTTCTATGATCAAACATAGCCTGTGTTGCTGCTCTTACCATTGGGGAGACTGGAAACAGATACAGTGGGGAAATAAAGTATTTAGTCAGCCACCAATTGTGCAAGTTCTCCCACTTAAAAAGATGAGAGAGGCCTGTAATATTCATCATAGGTACACATCAACTATGACAGACAAAATGAGAAGAAAAAAATCCAGAAAATCACATTGTAGGATTTTTAATGAATTTATTTGCAAATTATGGTGGAAAATAAGTATTTGGTCAATAACAAAAGTTTCTCAATACTTTGTTATATACCCTTTGTTGGCAATGACACAGGTCAAACGTTTTCTGTAAGTCTTCACAAGGTTTTCACACACTGTTGCTGGTATTTTGGCCCATTCCTCCATGCAGATCTCCTCTAGAGCAGTGATGTTTTGGGGCTGTCGCTGGGCAACACGGACTTTCAACTCCCTCCAAAGATTTTCTATGGGGTTGAGATCTGGAGACTGGCTAGGCCACTCCAGGACCTTGAAATGCTTCTTACGAAGCCACTCCTTCGTTGCCCGGGCGGTGTGTTTGGGATCATTGTCATGCTGAAAGAACCAGCCACGTTTCATCTTCAATGCCCTTGCTGATGGAAGGAGGTTTTCACTCAAAATCTCACGATACATGGCCCCATTCATTCTTTCCTTTACACGGATCAGTCGTCCTGGTCCCTTTGCAGAAAAACAGCCCCAAAGCATGATGTTTCCACCCCCATGCTTCACAGTAGGTATGGTGTTCTTTGGATGCAACTCAGCATTCTTTGTCCTCCAAACACGACGAGTTGAGTTTTTACCAAAAAGTTATATTTTGGTTTCATCTGACCATATGACATTCTCCCAATCCTCTTCTGGATCATCCAAATGCACTCTAGCAAACTTCAGACGGGCCTGGACATGTACTGGCTTAAGCAGGGGGACACATATGGCACTGTAGGATTTGAGTCCCTGGCGGCGTAGTGTGTTACTGATGGTAGGCTTTGTTACTTTGGTCCCAGCTCTCTGCAGGTCATTCACTAGGTCCCCCCGTGTGGTTCTGGGATTTTTGCTCACCGTTCTTGTAATCATTTTGACCCCACGGGGTGAGATCTTGCGTGGAGCCCCAGATCGAGGGAGATTATCAGTGGTCTTGTATGTCTTCCATTTCCTAATAATTGCTCCCACAGTTGATTTCTTCAAACCAAGCTGCTTACCTATTGCAGATTCAGTCTTCCCAGCCTGGTGCAGGTCTACCATTTTGTTTCTGGTGTCCTTTGACAGCTCTTTGGTCTTGGCCATAGTGGAGTTTGGAGTGTGACTGTTTGAGGTTGTGGACAGGTGTCTTTTATACTGATAACAAGTTCAAACAGGTGCCATTAATACAGGTAACGAGTGGAGGACAGAGGAGCCTCTTAAAGAAGAAGTTACAGGTCTGTGAGAGCCAGAAATCTTGCTTGTTTGTAGGTGACCAAATACTTATTTTCCACCATAATTTGCAAATAAATTCATTAAAAATCCTACAATGTGATTTTCTGGAAAAAATATGCTCAATTTGTCTGTCATAGTTGACGTGTACCTATGATGAAAATTACAGGCCTCTCTCATCTTTTTAAGTGGGAGAACTTGCACAATTGGTGGCTGACTAAATACTTTTTTTCCCCACTGTATACAGTCAGTTAGTTACACACAGACTGAAATGAGAGAGAGAGAGATCAATAGAACTGATAATAGCTGATTACTGGAACCAGACGTAGTTAGTGCTTTAAAAAAGGCATAGCCAGAACTGAAAATAACTGATCTCACACTTTGAAAAACGAACAGATCAGTTTCAGAGAGGAGTGATTCTATTTTCTATTGATTAACACATAAAGATGACCATTAAAGGTCTGTTTCCTTGCAAATACCCCACACAATACTGCAAAAAAACAGAAAACGTACTTGTTGACTCGTAGTTTGTCGCTTTCAGTCTCGGGGATGACACGTGTGTAGGAGAATGGGAACCAGCCCCGCCTGATGAGGAGACAAGGATTCTCAGATGAATCAGCAACAGTAATTCAATATTGAAAGCAGCATTTGACAACAATACCAAGAGTTTTGAAACTTACTGTATGAGTTCATAGCTCATGTAAAGATTCACCCTACTAACTATAATAAATACCATTTAGCAGACGCTTTATCCAAACCAACTTACAGTCATGCGTGCATACATTTTTCACATATGGGTGATCCCAGGAATTGAACCCCACTATTCTGGCGTTGCCAGTGCCGTGCTCTACCGACTAAGCTACAGAGGACCACCAACTAAATGTTACTCAGGGTGCCATAGACACAACGTTCCAAGAACGTTCAGGGGACCTATAGGAACAGACAATGTTTAAGAGATACATTTTGGTACAGATATCAGGACCAACTAAAGGCTCTAGAATGAGGATGACATATTGCACAATGACCACAATAACAATACCTCTCCTGTTTTATAAATTAATCAAAGCTATTATGTTTGTACCACATATCCAAATGCATCCCTGGCACTGGGCTGAAGGACAGAGGCAGACATTCATTCTCCTATGATTTCTCCTACGATTCTACTGATGTCGGAAGCCCCAACTCTGTGCCCCAGGAGAAGGTATAGAACACACACGTACACGCACACACACACACACGCACACACACACCTCTGAACCTGCAGCCACTCTCAATCCAAGTGGTACCCTGTTGGTTACAACTTCATCAGCTAGACTCTCAGTAGTGTGTGTTCTCTTCTCTACATGGAGGAGAGGCTGTACATCTCTCTATCTTCAGCTTCAGACTGAGCTACATAGGACCACCAACTAAATGTTACTCATGGTGCCGAAAGTGAATCAGATGGAGTTAGGATACTTACATCTTGTTCCTCTCATTCTCTCCGTAGTGCCATCCGTCGCGAGCCTCAGGCACCAGCAGGGTGATGACGTCTCCCTCAGAGAAGCTGAGCAGGGTGCTGTTGTCCCCCGCCGCATGGGAGAAAATGGCCTGGACACGGGTACGACCATTCCTCTCCAGCCCTGCAGCCATAGAGCTAGACCGGGGCAGGGTTCGGGTCTCTGGACCTGGGGGAGGGAGGGAGAGAGGAACAGAGACTTTCACACCAAATCTAGGGTTGTGTTCATTGGGAACCAAAACGGAAGAAAACAGACTGAAACAGGGAGTTACTAGCTGGACTTCTTAAAACGTTTCGCTACAGTGTACTGTACCCTATTACTGGACATGACCTTGAACTTTAATGGGAGCAAAGACTGACAATCCCATGACTAGATGTACAGGTGTAGGATCTTAATTTGACCAAAGGATTTGAACATTTAGTCCATAATGTTGCTTGATTGATGGTTTGGCTATCTGGCCAAAATTAGGCTACATGAAATGTGCAATACTGTTAATATAACCATGTGTTAGTATGGGTTTTCAGGGAATTTATATAAATCATGAATCTGCGGTGCAGGAAAATTCTCAGCAACAAAAGAGTGATCAAATTAAGATCCTACATCTGGAAAGGACTAAGGACCAAATCTAGGGGCTCAATTGAATCCGTATCGCGGAAGTTCTGCGCTATAGCACGATTGAAATTGAAAGGTTATTTCCGATTGAGCCAACATACATTTCAATCGCTCTATAGTGCAGAACTTCTGCGATACGGGTTGAATCAAGCCATAGGTCTTTAAGCAATAAACGTAGCCAAAACAGGCCACACAGGGCCTACTGTATAATATACACCTACAGTATATTACATTATTATATTATAGTACCTGCACTGAGTATAACATGCAGGATTAATGTGATATTATAACCCAACTCTCCTAAGTGACTTTAAATGCTTTGATTATTCTTAAAGCCTCTACCTTGCCTCTGCCCTTCACCTAATTTTTATATTTGACCTAATTCACATGTGATTTGTGCCATGTTGCCTGAAAAAATAATTGGGCAATGTTTATATGGTCCCCTTTCAAACAGCCAAATGTTTACCAAATTGTTGTTGGCATTTGAGCAAGAGATGTTAAACTTTGACCCTGTTGTTGTAATCGTTGTCATGGTAACCTGAGTGACAGAAAGCTAGTGTCAACAAATTCCTCTGACCAAAATACAGATTTCATTTCTTCACATTCACAACAGTAATTTCTTTTTTTTTTTTTTTTGAGGGGGGATGGGATCAGCTTAATATTGCAGATAGATTGTATCTTCTATCAATGTAATTGTCTGCATCACTTCCAATCCCCCATGTTTTTTATATATATACTCCCCTTTATTACTTTTCAACCCCGCCATCCTTTCCCTACTTGGAGTAAATTAGTGAACAACAATGCCCAGGCCTCTACTTCCGGTCTATACTTACTATCTACACCTTATGGACAGAGTTAATTTTACAATAATTCTATTGCCATGTATATATATATATATATATATATATATATATATATATATATATATATATATATATATATATATATATATATATATATATACAGTGGGGAGAACAAGTATTTGATACACTGCCGATTTTGCAGGTTTTCCTACTTACAAAGCATGTAGAGGTCTGTCAATTTTATCATAGGTACACTTCAACTGTGAGAGACGGAATCTAAAACAAAAATCCAGAAAATCACATTGTATGATTTTTAAGTAATTAATTTGCATTTTATTGCATGACATAAGTATTTGATCACCTACCAACCAGTAAGAATTCCGGCTCTCACAGACCTGTTAGTTTTTCTTTAAGAAGCCCTCCTGTTCTCCACTCATTACCTGTATTAACTGCACCTGTTTGAACTCGTTACCTGTATAAAAGATACCTGTCCACACACTCAATCAAACAGACTCCAACCTCTCCACAATGGCCAAGACCAGAGAGCTGTGTAGGGACATCAGGGATAAAATTATAGACCTGCACAAGGCTGGGATCGGCTACAGGACAATAGGCAAGCAGCTTGGTGAGAAGGCAACAACTGTTGGCGCAATTATTAGAAAATGGAAGAAGTTCAAGATGACGGTCAATCACCCTCGGTCTGGGGCTCCATGCAAGATCTCACCTCGTGGGGCATCAATGTTCATGAGGAAGGTGAGGGATCAGCCCAGAGCTACACGGCAGGACCTGGTCAATGACCTGAAGAGAGCTGGGACCACAGTCTCAAAGAAAACCATTAGTAACACACTACGCCGTCATGGATTAAAATCCTGCAGCGCACGCAAGGTCCCCCTGCTCAAGCCAGCGCATGTCCAGGCCCGTCTGAAGTTTGCCAATGACCATCTGGATGATCCAGAGGAGGAATGGGAGAAGGTCATGTGGTCTGATGAGACAGAAATATAGCTTTTTGGTCTAAACTCCACTCGCCGTGTTTGGAGGAAGAAGAAGGATGAGTACAACCCCAAGAACACCATCCCAACCGTGAAGCATGGAGGTGGAAACATCATTCTTTGGGATGCTTTTCTGCAAAGGGGACAGGACGACTGCACCGTATTGAGGGGAGGATGGATGGGGCCATGTATCACGAGATCTTGGCCAACAACCTCCTTCCCTCAGTAAGAGCATTGAAGATGGGTCGTGGCTGGGTCTTCCAGCATGACAATGACCCGAAACACACAGCCAGGGCAACTAAGGAGTGGCTCCGTAAGAAGCATCTCAAGGTCCTGGAGTGGCCTAGCCAGTCTCCAGACCTGAACCCAATAGAAAATCTTTGGAGGGAGCTGAAAGTCCGTATTGCCCAGCGACAGCCCCGAAACCTGAAGGGTCTGTATGGAGGAGTGGGCCAAAATCCCTGCTGCAGTGTGTGCAAACCTGGTCAAGACCTACAGGAAACGTATGATCTCTGTAATTGCAAACAAAGGTTTCTGTACCAAATATTAAGTTCTGCTTTTCTGATGTATCAAATACTTATGTCGTGCAATAAAATGCAAATGAATTACTTAAAATCATACAATGTGATTTTCTGGATTTTTGTTTTAGATTCCGTCTCTCACAGTTGAAGTGTACCTATGATAAAAATTACAGACCTCTACATGTTTTGTAAGTAGAAAAACCTGCAAAATCGGCAGTGTATCAAATACTTGTTCTCCCCACTGTATATATATATATAATTATTTTTTTGCTCCTGAACTTCTTCTACTCTCAACCTCTCCGATCATTTTCATGATGTCCATCCAGTTTGCTTCTATATGCCATATCTTTCTAACTGTGCTCTTTCCCAAAAGCTCCCAACATACAACCTATATACTTATTATGGACACAGTATGCTTACATTATTAGCTATCTTTGTTATTATTTGTTGTTATTTGTTATTAGTCCCATCCTTCAACTCTATTCAATACCTCCCATCTATCTCTTAACACCATCCATATAGGATTTCTATTTGCCATATATATTTCAACCGTACTGTGATGTTTTACAAAAGTTCTGAACCTTTCTATTCTCATTGCTTCTACAGATTGTGAATTAAAAATAAACATTTTTGCTAAAAGTATTATCATATTATTGATTGATTGACTATGACTTTTCAGATCACCCAGTAATGCTATCTACAAGGTTAGCTCCAGGTAAATATTGCAATCCTTTAGCCATTCCTGGACCTGTGTCCAAAAACAAGCTACAAATGGACAGAACCAAAACAAATGATCTAATGATTCTGTCTCTTCACAGCAAAATCTGCAGAGCTGGGAAGATTGTATCCCCCATATAAATAACATTCTATTGGTAGCAAGAATTTTATATAATAATTTAAATTGAAAGATTCTAATTTTTGAATCTGGTGTCGTTTTGCGTGTCAGTTCATAAACACTATGCCATGGGATCGGTACGTCAAATATCTCTTCCCAACTATTTTGCAATCTATATGGGACGGCTGTCAATCCTTTGGTCCTTAAGTGAAACTGATATACTTTTTTATTTATCACAGTTTTCCTTAACCAATTATGTTCTTTAATGCAAGGCCGACAGACAAGTTCCTTACTTTCTCCCCCTTCCACTTTCCTCTTCCACTTTTGCGGTAAGGCTGCAATTATTTGGTTGTAATTTTGGGTAGAGCAGACATTTCCATATGTTTTTGTTAGCTGCATGTGCGACATAACTCAACCAGTCCTACCGATGATATCATTTACGAAGATTATACCTTTTTTAAACATTCTGTCAAAAAATAAAGTTTTTTTGTCAATTAGTATATTTGAATTTAACCACAATATTTGTTGCATTATTTGTTCTGTCGTTTCTGGAGGATTAAATTGAAATTGCAACCAACTTTCTATGGCCTGTTTTAGAAATAGTGACATTTGGGAGATTATTTCCTTTTCAAATAACTGCAAATGAGTTGTTGTAATCTGAATAAAGGGAAAAAGGCCTTTCTTGAACATTGGGTGAGACAATCTTACTAATTTGCTTGAGAACCAGTTCGGATTTAAGTATAACTTTTGTATGACTGAAGCTTTTAGTGATAGGTCTAATGCTTTAATATTTAATAATTTCTGTCCTCCGAATTCATATTCATTATATAAATATGCCCTTTTAATTTTGTCTGGCTTGCCGTTCCAAATAAAATTGAATATTTTTTTCTCATATAATTTAAAAAACTGTTCGCTAGGCGTAGGCAAGACCACAAGCAAATAGGTAAACTGGGATAATACTAAAGAGTTAATCAGGGTGATTCTTCCACAAATTGACAGGTATTTTCCTTTCCATGGTAGTAAGATCTTATCTATTTTTGCTAACTTTCTATTCAAATTTATTGAAGTGAGATCATTTATTTCCTTTGGGATATGTACAGTGGGGAAAAAAAGTATTTAGTCAGCCACCAATTGTGCATGTTCTCCCACTTAAAAAGATGAGAGAGGCCTGTAATTTTCATCATAGGTACACGTCAACTATGACAGACAAATTGAGATGTTTTTTTCCAGAAAATCACATTGTAGGATTTTTAATGAATTTATTTGCAAATTATGGTGGAAAATAAGTATTTGGTCACCTACAAACAAGCAAGATTTCTGGCTCTCACAGACCTGTAACTTCTTCTTTAAGAGGCTCCTCTGTCCTCCACTCGTTACCTGTATTAATGGCACCTGTTTGAACTTGTTATCAGTATAAAAGACACCTGTCCACAACCTCAAACAGTCACACTCCAAACTCCACAATGGCCAAGACCAAAGAGCTGTCAAAGGACACCAGAAACAAAATTGTAGACCTGCACCAGGCTGGGAAGACTGAATCTGCAATAGGTAAGCAGCTTGGTTTGAAGAAATCAACTGTGGGAGCAATTATTTGGAAATGGAAGACATACAAGACCACTGATAATCTCCCTCGATCTGGGGCTCCACGCAAGATCTCACCCTGTGGGGTCAAAATGATCACAAGAACGGTGAGCAAAAATCCCAGAACCACACAGGGGGACCTAGTGAATGACCTGCAGAGAGCTGGGACCAAAGTAACAAAGCCTACCATCAGTAACACACTACGCCGCCAGGGACTCAAATCCTGCAGTGCCAGACGTGTCCCCCTGCTTAAGCCAGTACATGTCCAGGCCCGTCTGAAGTTTGCTAGAGTGCATTTGGATGATCCAGAAGAGGATTGGTAGAATGTCATATGGTCAGATGAAACCAAAATATAACTTTTTGGTAAAAACTCAACTCGTCGTGTTTGGAGGACAAAGAATGCTGAGTTGCATCCAAAGAACACCATACCTACTGTGAAGCATGGGGGTGGAAACATCATGCTTTGGGGCTGTTTTTCTGCAAAGGGACCAGGACGACTGATCCGTGTAAAGGAAAGAATGAATGGGGCCATGTATCGTGAGATTTTGAGTGAAAACCTCCTTCCATCAGCAAGGGCATTGAAGATGAAACGTGGCTGGGTCTTTCAGCATGACAATGATCGCAAACACACCGCCCGGGCAACGAAGGAGTGGCTTCGTAAGAAGCATTTCAAGGTCCTGGAGTGGCCTAGCCAGTCTCCAGATCTCAACCCCATAGAAAATCTTTGGAGGGAGTTGGAAGTCCGTGTTGCCCAGCGACAGCCCCAAAACATCACTGCTCTAGAGGAGATCTGCATGGAGGAATGGGCCAAAATACCAGCAACAGTGTGTGAAAACCTTGTGAAGACTTACAGAAAACGTTTGACCTGTGTCATTGCCAACAAAGGGTATATAACAAAGTATTGAGAAACTTTTGTTATTGACCAAATACTTATTTTCCACCATAATTTGCAAATAAATTCATTAAAAATCCTACAATGTGATTTTCTGGAATTTTTTTCCTCATTTTGTCTGTCATAGTTGACGTGTACCTATGATGAAAATTACAGGCCTCTCTCATCTTTTTAAGTGGGAGAACTTGCACAATTGGTGGCTGACTAAATACTTTTTTCCCCCACTGTATCTCATTCTTGAAGGTCACAAACAAGCAGTTCTCTCTCCAAGGTCTCTATGACTGAGGTTAAATTCATAAAGGACACTAGTGATGTATTCTGTAATATTCTAATATGACTGCCTATATGGCGGAATGCCATTAAGCCCCCACAATGAATTGGTCTTTATAGTACTATACTGTAATATTGAATTGCAGTAGCTAATTGTAAGATTTTAGCAAGAAAAAAAATATCAATTTGTTATAGTGTAGCTACTGTATATGTGATTCTGGTGCCCAACTTTGAGGGCCTCTCAAGATGTTTATGGCCCCCACTATCCTGGTCCTCCTTACCTATGGTGGTGTTGCTCTTGGCGGGGGCGTTCTTGCGTACGGGTAGGGTGTTGGAGTAGACCTCGCTGCCCTGTCTGTGGGGCTGGGAGTGGTGCTGGGGCTGGGTGGAGGCCTTAGCCGCCTGTAGGGCCTGGGCTTGAGCTTGGGCCATCTTCCCCTCCATCCAGTGTTGGTAGTCCTCCCCTCCTCCCCCTCCTGCTCCTCCGTGCGCCCCTGCCGTTCCGTTCATAATGGGCATCCCTCCGTCCACTCCTCCTGGTCCCATTAGACGCTGAAGGGAAGGAGGGAGGGAGGGAGGAAGGAAGGAAAGCGTGTGTTGATGTGTTAAGCAAAGATGGTGGATAAATTAAGATCAACTACTTAAGCTATTTACCATATCATATTTTTTCAAGTTCCTGTCTGTGTAAGTGGCCGTTCGCTCTTTCGCTTGAGCATGCTTTCCCGTGTGAGCTCACGGTTCCTCCATAATCTCTGGTATGCTCACGGTTCCTCCATAATCTCTGGCATGCTCACGTAAGAGAGGGAACAGCTGGTTTTGGTCTACTTATTGTCCCCTCCCCGCTCGCCCCACCTCCCCCGACCAGAACATTTTTGCCTTTTAATGTGACTCTACTATAGTTCACATACTCATTATGCACCATTCTTACATCCCAGAAAAGTATAAGTCTGCGTTCGTAACCAAGTGGGAGGTGGGAATTTACCAATTGTGAAGTCGTAAATACCAGTTGGATGCATTCATGTGCTTTGAACCAGTTGAGAAACACCGATTGGCTAATGGGCAATAAGTTTGCAAACAAATTATAGTGTTCACAAACCATATTAATAGATTGCTTTTTTATAAATAATGTTTTGTTGTTGTATTTAACTGCCGAAAATGCTGTTATTGAGGTAATTTCCTTAGTAGGTGACTGACGTCAGAGTTCAGCATGTGGGAGAAGTCAGAGCTCAGGATGATAGACTAGTAATTACCAGTTGGAAGGCCGTTCAAGTGGATTTTTCCCAGTCCTTATAGTTTATAGAGACATACCCCAAGAGACTTGCAGCTGTAATTGCTGCAAAAGGTGGCTCTACAAAGTATTGACTTTGGGGGGGTGAATAGTTATGCACGCTCAAATTTTCTGTTTTTTTTGTCTTATTTCTTGTTTGTTTCACCCCAAAAAATATTTTGCATCTTCAAAGTGTTAGGCATGTTGTGTAAATCAAATTATCCATTTTAATTCCAGGTTGTAAGGCAACAAAATAGGAAAAATGTCAAGAGGGGTGAATACTTTCACAAGCCACTGTATGTTTTCTCAAATTCTGAGCATATTTATCAGGAAAAATATTATGGGTGATGTTTTGGTCGGTCAAAAGGCTATTGTACATGGGAATCAGCATGACTGTGCGGGACCTTTAAAGCGTGAGGCTCAACTTCGGCTGTTCTGTTCCTGTGGCTACCACGTTGTAAAGGCGTGAAGCAAACCAGTGCAGATACTGTGTGTGACCGTGTGAGAGTGAAGTCGTGCATCTCGCTCATCACAATATCTGCAGTGCTGCTCGTGGCAACGTAATTTCACTGACTCTACCTTTAACTTAGAGATCAATCCACTTTAATGGAACAAAGTAAGTAGCTCCACTACACAGCCACAAATAATCCCAACCGCCAGTCTTTCTTTTAATGTGACTGGACCCAAAGTTGTTTGTTGTTGAAAGATACATGTTAATACACATCATCACAAAACAGAATGATAAAAGACAGTCAGAGAGATGCAGAGATGCTGGGTAATCTCTGTGTGAATATACTATCCAGTGTTTCTTCTTTGAGAAATGTTAGACAGTAAGAATCATCTGCTCTTTCTCCCTCTAGATTCTAGGGCCCCTAATGAGACCATCATAGGCCATGCTGCTAACTCTTTCATGTGAATCCTAGAGGCTTACTCCTACACACACTATATATACAAAAGTATGTGGACACCCCTTACAAATGAGTGGATTCGGCTATTTCAGCCGCACCCGTTGCTGACTGATGTATAACATCGAACACACAACCATGCAATCTTCATAGACAAACATTGGCAGTAGAATGGCCTTACTGAAGAGCTCAGTGACCTTCAACGTAGCACCGTCATAGGATGCCACCTTTCCAACAAGTCAGTTTGTCGAATATCTGCCCTGCTAGAGCTGCCCCGTTCAACTGTAAGCTGTTATTGTGAAGTGGAAACATCTAGGAGCAACAACGGCTCAGCCGTGAAGTGTTAGGCCACACAAGCTCACAGAACGGGACATCCGAGTGCTGAAGCGCATAAAAATTGTCTGTCCTCGGTTGCAACACTTACTACCGAGTTCCAAACTGCCTCTGGAAGCAACGTCAGCACAATAACTATTCGTCGGGAGTTTCATGGAATGGGTTTCCATGGCCGAGCAGCCACACACAAGCCTAAGATCACCATGCGCAATGCCAAGCGATGGCTGGAGTGGTGTAAAGCTCGCCGCCATTGGACTCTGGAGCAGTGGAAACGCGTTCTCTGGAGTGATGAATCATGCTTCACCATCTGGCAATCAGACTGACGAATCTGGGTTTGGCGGATGCCAGGAGAACGCTACCCACGCCAATGCATAGTGCCAACTGTAAAGTTTGGTGGATGAGTAATAGTCTGGGGCTGTTTTTCATGGTTCATGGTTTTCCTTAGTTCCAGTGAAGGGAAATCTTAACGCTAGAGCATACAATGACATTCTAGATGATTCTGTGCTTCCAACTTTGTGGCAACAGTTTGGGGAAGGCCCTTCAGCATGACAATGCCCCGTGAATATAGCGAGGTCCATAATTAAATGGTTTGTCGAGATTGGTGTGGAAGAACTTGACTGGCCTGCACAGAGCCCTGACCTCAACACCATCGAACACCTTTGGGATGAATTGGAACGCCGACTGCGAGCCAGGCCTAATCGCCCAACATCAGTGCCCGACCTCAATAATGCTCTTGTGGCTGAATGGAAGCAAGTCCCCGCAGCAATGTTCCAACATCTAGTGGAAAGCCTTCCCAGAAGAGTGGAGGCTGTTATAGCAGCAAAGGGGGGGACCAACTCCATATTAATGCCCATGATTTTGGAATGAGATGTTCGACGAGCAGGTGTCCACATACTTTTGGTCATGCAGTGTATTACTGTACTACACACACACCAATAATAATAATAATAATAATAATAATAACAACACAGAAGAGTGTAGAGGAGGCAGGGTGTGAAAGAACCAATGCCCAACAGCCCCAAGGAACCTGTTTCTGTTCCTTCCTACTGGCGACATTTTAATTAGCATGCGGCACTAACGACTTTATTTGCATCAGCAAATGTTTGTGTGTGTGTGTGTCTGAGGGGTTCTGTGTTCTGAAGGAGAGGCTCTGAGAGATTCCGTAATGGAATCCCAACATCCTGGGGCATTGCTAGGCAATGTGGTCCTCTGTAGCTCAGCTGGTAGAGCACAGCGTTTGTAACGCCAAGGTAGTGGGTTCGATCCCCGGGACCACCCATACACAAAAATGTATGCACGCATGACTGTAAGTGGCTTTGGATAAAAGCGTCTGCTAAATGGCATATTATATTATATTATTAACAGACTCAACAAGCTCTCACTGTCTCACTGCAGAATTAGACGTTCATCCACGTTCTCCAAACGTCACATTTAGAAGTGTTTTTGTTGTTCCTGCTGTTCTGTATCTTTCCATTTCTCCAAACATCACATTTTTAAGTTAAGGGCTAAGTTTAGTCACTCATTCCAAAGGGTTGAGGTAAGGGTTAAGGTTTGGGATAGGGTTAAAACATTACGTTTAGGCACTAATTTCAAAGGGTTGAGGTAAGGGTTAAGGTTTGGGATAGGGTTAAAACATTACATTTAGGAACTCATTCCAAAGGGTTGAGGTAAGGGTTAAGGTTTGGGATAGGGTTAAAACATTACGTTTAGGCACTCATTCCAAAGGGTTGAGGTAAGGGTTAAGGTTTGGGATAGGGTTAAAATAAAAAATAAAAAACCAGTGTCCACGACTGGGATCAAACAAGCAACATTCTGATCCAAAGTCATTGGACTACGTCCATCCAAAACACCCTAGCCTATTTGATGGTAATAGCGCTCACTGTTGCCCCTAGTCAAATCAAATCAAATTGTATTTGTCACATGCGCCGAATACAACAGGTGTAGACCTTACAGTGAAATGCTTACATACAAGCCCTTAACCAACAATGCAGTTTTAAGAAAGAATACCAAAAAAAATCACAAAAATATATAATATAAAATAATTCAAAATAAAAGTACAAAATAATTAAAGAGCACCAGTAAAAATAACAATAGCGAGGCTATATACAGGGGGTACCGGTACCGAGTCAATGTGCGGGTGCACCGGTTAGTCGAGGTGATTGGGGTAATATGTAGGTAGAGTTATTAAAGTGACTATGCATAGATAATAAAAAAAAGAGTAGCAGCAGCGTAAAAGAGGGGTGGGGGGGCAATGTAAATAGTCGGGGTAGCCATTTGATTAGATGTTCAGGAGTCTTATGGCTTGGGGGTAGAAGCTGTTTAGAAGCCTCTTGGACCTAGACTTGGCGCTCCGGTACCGCTTGCCGTGCGGTAGCAGAGAGAACAGTCTATGACTAGGGTGGCTGGAGTCTTTGACAATTTATAGGATCCTCCTCTGACACCGCCTGGTATAGAGGACCTGGATGGCAGGAAGCTTGGCCCCAGTGATGTACTGGGCCGTACGCACTACCCTCTGTAGTGCCTTGTGGTCGGAGGCCGAGCAGTTGCCATACCAGGCAGTGATGCAACCAGTCAGGATGCTCTCAATGGTGTAGCTGTAGAACCTTTTGAGGATCTGAGGACCCATGCCAAATCTTTTCAGTCTCCTTAGGGGGAATAGGTTTTGTCGTGCCCTCTTCACGACTGTCTTGGTGTGCTTGGACCATGTTACTTTGTTGGTGATGTGGACACCAAGGTACTTGAAGCTCTCAACCTGCTCCACTACAGCCCTGTCGATGAGAATGGGGGCGTGCTCGGTCCTCTTCTTTTTACTGTAGTCTACAATCATCTCCTTTGTCTTGATCACGTTGAAGGAGAGGTTGTTGTCCTGGCACCACATGGCCAGGTCTCTGACCTCCTCCCTATAGGCTGTCTTGTCGTTGTCGGTGATCAGGCCTACCACTGTTGTGTCATCGGCAAACTTAATGATGGTGTTGGAGTCGTGCCTGGCCATGCAGTCATGAGTGAATAGGGAGTACAGGAGGGGACTGAGCACGCACCCCTGAGGGGCATCCGTGTTGAGGATCAGCGTGGCGGATGTGTTGTTACCTACCCTTACCACCTGGGGGCGGCCCGTCAGGAAGTCCAGGATCCAGTTGCAGAGGGAGGTGTTTAGTCCCAGGGTCCTTAGCTTAGTGATGAGCTTTGAGGGCACTATGGTGTTGAACGCTGAGCTGTAGTCAATGAATAACATTCTCACATAGGTGTTCCTTTTGTCCAGGTGTGAAAGGGCAATGTGGAGCGCAACAGAGATTGCATCATCTGTGGATCTGTTGGGGCGAAATGCAAATTGGAGTGGGTCTAGGGTTTCTGGGATAATGGTGTTGATGTGAGCCATGACCAGCCTTTCAAAGCACTTCATGGCTACAGACGTGAGTGCTACGGGTCGGTAGTCATTTAGGCAGGGTACCTTAGTGTTCTTGGGCACAGGGACTATGGTGGTCTGCTTGAAATATGTTGGTATTACAGACTCAGACAGGGAGAGGTTGAAAATGTCAGTGAAGACACTTGCCAGTTGGTCAGCACATGCTTGGAGTACACGTCCTGGTTTTCCGTCTGGCCCTGCAGCCTTGTGAATGTTGACCTGATTAAAGGTATTACTCACATCGGCTATGGAGAGCGTGATCACACAGTCATCCGGAACAGTTGATGCTCTCATGCATGTTTCAGTGTTACTTGCCTCGAAGCGAGCATAGAAGTAATTTAGCTCGTCTGGTAGGCTCGTGTCACTGGCCAGCTCGCGGCTGTGCTTTCCTTTGTAGTCTGTAATAGTTTGCAAGCCCTGCCACATCCAACGAGCGTCGGAGCCGGTGTAGTACGATTCGATCTTAGTCCTGTATTGACGCTTTGCCTTTTTGATGGTTCGTCAGAGGTTATAGCAGGATTTATTTTAAGCTTCCGAGTTAGAGTCCCGCTCCTTGAAAGCGGCAGCTCTACCCTTTAGCTCAGTGCGGATGTTGCCTGTTATCCATGGCTTCTGGTTGGGGTATGTATGTACAGTCACTGTGGGGACGACGTCATTGATGCACTTATTGGTGAAGCCAGAGACTAATGTGGTGTACTCCTCAATGCCATCGGAAGAATCTCGGAACATATTCCAATCTGTGCTAGCAAAACAGTCCTGTAGCTTAGCATCTGCTTCATCTGACCAATTTTTTATTGACCGAGTCACTGGTGCTTCCTGCTTTAGTTTTTGCTTGTAAGCAGGTATCAGGAGGATAGAATTATGGTCAGATTTTCCAAATGGAGGGCGAGGGAGAGCTTTGTACACATCTCTGTGTGTGGAGTAAAGGTGGTCTAGAGTTTTTTTCCCTCTGGCTGCACATTTAACATGCTGGTAGAAATTAGGTCAAACGGATTTAAGTTTCCCTGTATTAAAGTCCCCGGCCACTAGGAGCGCCGCCTCTGGATGAGCATTTTCCTGTTTGCTTATGGCCGTGTACTGTTCATTGAGTGCGGTCTTAGTGCCAGCATCGGTTTGTGGTGGTAAATAGACAGCTATGAAGAATATAGATGAAAACTCTCTTGGTAGATAGTGTGGTCTACAGCTTATCATGAGATACTCTACCTCAGGTGAGCAAAAACTCTTCCTTAGATATCGTGCACCAGCTGTTGTTTACAAATATACATAGACCGCCACCCCTTGTCTTACCAGAGGCTGCTGTTCTATCCTGCCGATACAGTGTATAACCCGCCAGCTGTATGTTATTCATGTCATCGTTCAGCCACGACTCGGTGAAACATAAGATATTACAGTTTTTAATGTCCTGTTAGTAGGATATTCGTGCCTGTAGTTTGTCCATATTATTATCAAGTGATTGTAAATTGGCCAATAGTATCGATGGCAAAGGCAGATTAGCCACTCGTCGCCGGCTCCTTACCAAGCACCCCGATCTCCTTACGCAATATCTCCTTTTCTTTCTACTGCGAATGACGGGGATGAGGGCCCTGTCGGGTGTCTGGAACAAATCCCTCTCGTCCGACTCATAAAATAAAACTTATTCGTCCAGTTCAAGGTGAGTAATCGCTGTTCTGATGTCCAGAAGCTCTTTTCGGTCATAAGAGACGGTAGCAGCAACATTATGTACAAAATAACTTACAAACAATGCGAAAAAACACACAAAATAGCACGGTTGGTTAGGAGTCCATAAAACGGCAGCCATCCCCTCCGGCGCCATCAGTTTTGAAGGCATCCTCAGGACATGGATAGAAGTCCAATTTCGACGTCAATCTTGAACAACCTGGCTGACGACAAGCTGGTGGTGTTAATTTAATTAAGGTTCGTTGATTGGAGCCGCAGCCCACAAACCTGCTGTGTGCTTCAAGACTCAAGAATACCCACTCAAACACTGATGCAACACACTGATACAGAGGTTTGTACACAGGCACTCAAGCACGCAGGCACTCACACACAGCTCTTCAAAGCTTCATAATCAAAAACACAATTAGTGATGATAAGCAACAATAGATTCACTGAATGTTTCTCCACACCAATAGGGCTGAAAAACCATAGCAGCTCTATAGATGTAGGATCTTAATTTCAGCCAGTTTGCTACAGCAGGAAAATGATCCTGCAGCAACAGGAAATGTGAATTATTATGTGAAGTATAATTCATGTACATTTTTTTGTAGGGGTTGCTACAATTTCTATGAGTGCAAATCAAATCAAATTACAAACTTTAGAAGCCTTTTTAAACCTTGAATACACTACAAGTTAGCATTTCCTGCTGTGCAGGAAAATTCTCAGCAACAAAAGAGTGATCAAATTAAGATCCTACATCTGTAGTAATAGATGTGTAATACCATAGCACATAATAGCACAGTAACATCATAGTAACAGTGACCCACCTGTTGGGCCATGAGTGCAGCCAGCTCTGGGGGTACAGGCAGAGGCTTGGCCCCGGGGATAGGGTCAGAGATGAGCAGGTTGCCCTTGGAGCTGTGGTGGGTGTGGGAGCTGGACCCCAGGGTACCCCCTGCAGAGGTCATCTGCTGGGCCAGGAGCAAGGCACGGTCAGGCAGCTTGGTAGGGTCAGCACACGCCTGCTGCCATGCTGGGATCTTCTGGGCTAGAAGGTCCTTACCCTGGAGAAGAGAGGTAAATAAAGAAAGGTGAGACATTGTGTAGGGGTGAGATAGGTGAATATCGAGATGTTCTGGTGAGAGAAGAGGATTGATTAACAAGGTGTTCCTTTGAACCCGCTCAAAAGGTAAGTGATGTGAGGTATGTGTATATCTAAGGAGATTTTTCAGAAGACTATAGGGTTATAAAGTTCAGGAGAAACTGTTTAACAAATATTTTTTTCACTGCTTGAGAACATAACTACATTATCACATCCCAGAGAGAGGGAGGGAGAGAGAGAGAGAGAGAGAGAGAGAGAGAGAGAGAGAGAGAGAGAGAGAGAGAGAGAGAGAGCGAGAGAGAGAGAGAGTGCTTCACCTCACACCCTTTTTTTAACACCCTCTGTCATATCTGCCATATCACCAAACCAAGACTTCCTTCTCTCTCAGCTCTGACAGCTCTTCTACAGTATCTGTTGACCGGGGAGCTGAAGCAGCCTCATTACCAGTCTAGCAGCCGTTTCATCGCAAAGCTGTCCACCAGCAGCCTCCCAGGATTATAACACTCAAGGCAGGGGGGCGGCCGCCTGCGACACCATCTGTAGCCTCCAGGCCTTTCCTCCAGCTCTCTCCCCAGCTCTGGGTTTCCTGCTTTAGCTTACTGCTGATCAGTTTTACCCCCACCTCCATTCATTAAAGCTTTCTGAGTGTAACACAGGCTATAATATTCAGCAGGGTTGCCAGGTTTCTCCATAAACTTCACTCTTAGAAAAAAGGGTTAATAAAAAGGGTTCTCCTATGAGGACAGCAGAAGAACACATTTAGGTTCTAAATAGCACCTTGAGTGTGCCCATTCATACCAAATACCAATGAAGTTTGTTTGACTGTCAGACAGTATTTATCGAAGTGACATATCCCTCAATCTTTGTTACTATTTGTCTCTGTCCATAGCATACATACAGTTGATGTCGGAAGTTCACATACACCTTACCCAAATACATTTAAACTCAGTTTTTCACAATTCCTGACATTTAATCCTAGTAAAAATTCCCTGTCTTAGGTCTGTTAGGATCACCACTTTATTTTAAGAATGTGAAATGTCAGAATAATAGTAGAGAGAATGATTTATTTCAGCTTTTATTTCTTTCATCACATTCCCAGTGGGTCAGAAGTTTACATACACTCAATTAGTATTTGGTAGCATTGCCTTTAAATGATTTAACTTGGGTCAAACGTTTTGGGTAGCCTTCCACAAGCTTCCCACAATAAGTTGTGTGAATTTTGGCCCATTCCTCCTGACAGAGCTGATGTAACTGAGTCAGGTTTTTTAATTTTTAATTTTACCTTTATTTAACTAGGCAAGTCAGTTAAGAACAAATTCTTATTTCCAATGACGGCCTACACTGGCCAAACCCGGACGATGCTGGACCAATTGTGCGCCTCCTATGGGGCCTCCTTGCTCGCACACGCTTTTTCAGTTCTGCCCACACATTTTCTATAGGATTGAGGTCAGGGCTTTGTGATGGCCACTCCAATACCTTGACTTTGTTGTCCTTAAGCCATTTTGCCACAACTTTGGAAGTATGCTTGGGGTCATTGTCCATTTGGAAGACCCATTTGCGACCAATCTTTAACTTCCTGACTGATGTCTTGAGATGTTGCTTCAATATATCCACATAATTTTCCTTCCTTATAATGCCATCTATTTTGTGAAGTGCACCAGTCCATCCTGCAGCAAAGCACCCCCAAAGCATGATGCTGCCACCCCCATGCTTCACGGTTGGGATGGTGTTCTTCGGCTTGCAAGCGTTCCCCCCTTTCCTCCAAACATAATGATGGTCATTATGGCCAAACAGTTCTATTTTTGTTTCATCAGACAGAGGACATTTCTCCAAAAAGTATGATCTTTGTCCCCATGTGCAGTTGCTAACCGTAGTCTGGCTTTTTTATGGCGGTTTTGGAGCAGTGGCTTCTTCCTTGCTGAGCGGCCTTTCAGGTTATGTCGATATAGGACTCGTTTTACTGTGGATGTAGATGCTTTTGTACCGGTTTCCTCCAGCATCCTCACAAGGTCCTTTGCTGTTGTTTTGGGATTGATTTGCACTTTTCGCACCAAAGTACGTTCATCTCTAGGAGACAGAACGCGTCTCCTTCCTGAGCGGTATGACGGCTGCGTGGTCCCATGGTGTTTATACTTGCGTACTATTGTTTGTACAGATGAATGTGGTACCTTCAGGTGTTTGGAAATTGCTCCCAAGGATGAACCAGACTTGTGGAGGTCTACCATTTTTTTTTCCTGAGGTCTTGGCTGATTTCTTTTGATTTTCCCATGATGTCAAGCAATGAGGCACTGAGTTTGAAGGTAGGCCTTGAAATACATCCACAGGTACACCTCCAATTGACTCAAATGATGTCAATTAGCCTATCAGAAGCTTCTAAAGCCATGGCATCATTTTCTGAAATGTTCCAAGCTGTTTAAAGGGACAGTCAACTTAATGTATGCAAACTTCTGACCCACTGGAATTGTAATACAGTGTGTTATAAGTGAAATAATCTGTCTGTAAAGTATTGTTGGAAAAATTACTTGTATCATGCACAAAGTAGATGTCCTAACCGACTTGCCAAAACTATAGTTTGTTAACAAGACATTTGTGGAGTGGTTGAAAAACTAGTTTTAATGACTCCAACCTAAGTGTATGTAAACTTCCGACTTCAACTGTAAATGTGTCTATCCATGTTTTCTTCCATATTGTTTTCTGTGTACCAGTCAGAGTGATCCTCCTTGGTCTCTCTCTGTTGGTGGACCGGGTAGCAGTGCCAGTAGGTGACTAAGCTCCCAGTTGGCAGTATCGGCTAGGTAATGTACCGCGTGTCGTGTGCGTGGGAGTGTGGCCTGTGGGGAGATGATATAGACTCCACTGGCAGATGGCCTGCCTCTTCATCTTTCATCTCAATACACTTCTTCAACCTGTTCGGTTCGGTTCCCCTGCTCCTGCTCTGTCACCTTCATTATGGCTGTCTTATACAAGGAGGGCACGACCATACCGTATTAAGTTGGAGTGTTCTACAGTGTGGACTAGAGAGAGAGAGAGAGAGAGAGAGAGAGAGAGAGAGAGAGAGAGAGAGAGAGAGAGAGAGAGAGAGAGAGAGCAAGAGAGAGAGACAGAGAGAGGGAGAGGGAGGGAGAACCTGTCTGAAGAGTGGGTCCTCTCTCGCCCACTCCTCCTAAGTGACTCACACAATACGCCCTCAATCGTTCTGTCTTTGCCTCCCTACAAACTCTTTTCATATACAATCTCTCGTTCTCCATATTTCCCTTTTCACTGCGTCTTTCGAAATTGCTTCCAACCTATTTTTCTCTCCCCCTCCTTTCTCTCCCTCTCCGCTCTCTTCCTCCTTCCCTTGATCTCAATCTCTCTCTCTTCCTCTCGCTCTCTTTCCTCTCCATTCCTCTCTCTCTTCCTCTCTCTCTCTTTCTTCTCTTTCTCTGTCAGCACATCAGTATTGTCTATAGACAGTCAGCCCCCACACACTCTCTCCCTGGTGATTCACGTCTGGACTAAGTGTACTTGTGGAAGTGGGACACTGCGCAACCTCTTCCCTTCCTACCCTCTCCACCTCTCTCTTTCCATTGCTCAGTCTCCCCCCATCTTCTCCTCCTCACCCCCTCCTCTCCTTTCTTCTCCTCCTCCACCTCTCCACCTATCTCATCCCACTGCTCAGTCTCTAGATAGCACCTTCTAGATAGTGTAGGGTTGAAAAATGTCATTAACTTTCCCCAAATTCCACGTTTTTCCTGAAATTCTGATTGGAGGACTTCCTCCCTGCCTAATCCCTTCTGATTGTAACCAGGGGAGTTTCCAGGATTTTGCAACCCTAGGTACAGAAACTGTTGACCTGTAGATGAAAAGGGAAAAGTCAGACTTTGCTCACTTTGCTGTGGTAGGAGCTGTTGTTCTTGGCCACGGCACACTGTCTGTCCACCAGGAAACAGTACCTCCTCCTCTCCTCTGACAGTGCATTCTTGTAGCCCTCTGCTGTGTACTGGTCCAGGTCGCTCTGCTTGCTGCTGATGGTCTCAACATACTGAGGAGGGAGAGAGAGAGAGAGGAGGAGCAGGGGGACGGAATGAGCAGAAACCATAAGGATAGCGTATCATGAAGTTGCCCCTAGGTCTAGACTCTTGACACTGATCTAAGGTCAGTTTTGTGTGTGTGTGTGTGTGTGTGTGTGTATGTGTGTGTGTGTGTGTGTTTATGTCTCAATGGTTAAGGTTAGTATTGTCTTATATCCTAGACACAGTATGTACATAGGAGCAACATTTGTGTCTGCTTGAATCTTCCCACCTAAACTGACTCAAGCAGTTGATAGATTGAATTTAGCTAACTAAATGTACAGTACGCGTCACCTTGTGTGGCACTAGAATAAGGTGTCAGCAGCTAAACCAGTGGGGAAAATATTGACATAGAATAGCATGTAAACATTCTATACATTCTGATTCACTGCTAAACAGTGAGTGGTACACAATGGAGCACTAACTCCCTAGTGGTACACAATGGAGTACTAATTCCCTGCCTGATTAGAACAAAATGGCCAATACAAGCAGAGTCATTTAAGCAATAAGGCCCGAGGGGGTGTGGTATATGGCCTATATCCCACGACTAAGGGCTGTTCTTACGCATGACGCAACGCGGAGTGCCTGGATACAGCCCTTAGCCGTGGTATATTGGCCGTATACCACAAACCCCAGAGGTGCCTTATTGCTATTATAAACTGGTTACCAATGTAATTACAATAGTAATTATACCACAGCTTTCAGCCAATCAGCATTCAGGGCTCAAACCACGCAGTTTATAATGTAGCATTAGTTGCTAATGATGTTGATGACACAGAGCTCAGCCTAAGACAAGAACAAATTGAGTTCATCCTTTGTCACCATAGAGGTACAACGAGACTCGTCCTGAAAACTCTCTCATCCAAACAGTAGTCGTCAACAACCAGACAAAGGCCTACAAACAAATCCTTGTTGAATCCTTGACTAAAATCCACAAAAACACTTGTGAGGCTTGATCCTCTAAGCTCACATCAGGGAGATACACACATGCACACGCACACACACAAATGCATGCATGCACACACACAAATGCGCACACACACACACACACACACAGGGGTCGCAGATGGAAATTTCAGCCTCATTACAGAACTCATTTAGGCAATGCGAGCAGGTGTTTACTGAAAATTCACAGCTTCCAATTTACCACTCCCCACACTGCTACCCTGGAGCTTTCCATTTCCCCTTCATCTCTCTGTCCCTCCCTCTCTCCCTCCGCCCCTCAGAATGATAAAGTTCAGAACGATAAAGCACAGTCAGAGATGCTATATGATACCTGTATGAAGATACTATCCACTTCAAAGTGTTTCTTCTCTGAGACTGTTACACAATAGGATCCCTCCCTCCCTCTTTACCATTGTGACTGTGGCCTCTGCTTTCTGTAACGAGCCTAATGACTCAGAGATAATTAAGAAGAGGAGACTAACACACAGATGCCCAGCCGTTCTCTCTTCTCTCTCACCTGTGTATATGTAGACTGATTACAAAGAACAGAGAAAGGAAAAACCCTTCAGGAGCTTAATTAACTTTCAGTTCAGGTTGATGGAACGACAAGGAGGATAATGTTATTTTCAAATAACTGGGGTTCTTTCCATCGGCGTCGTTAGGGAAGGGCTTCCGGAGCTGCAGCCCCGAATGACTTTGACCCAGCCCCGAACCTTTTGATGGTCGAAGAATTGTGAAATTGCAATCTGTAAAAAAAAAGAAACTGGCGCCGGTGTGCTTTATGACCATGCAGACGCCTCGGAACGGGTGGGCAGGTTGTTTGACTCTGCACCCAGCGGTTTATAAAGCCAGTGTGGCATGTTGAATTTGTTTTTCTTCCTATGAATTTGGCTCTAGCATGTGAACGGTTTGGGCTATTATTTATGACCCTCAAATGGAAGCTAAGACTCTCAGGAACATATATGTGCCTTCTTTTCCCCTCTACAACGTTCACAAGTTGCACATGACTCATTAGAAGGGACTTTGACAAAACAGCACAGAATGACTGGGGAAAAGGAATTGAATGTAATTGTGATATATTTGCTATGAATTTGGCTCCAGCCTTGGAACAGTTTGGGCTATTAGCAATTATGACCCCATTCCTGAAAGCTAAGACTCTCAGGAACATATCTTCTGTTCTAAGAAAGATTAAATACACACTCATTTCCTGATGATCTTCCTTCCTGAATTTTACCTGTAAGATACATTTCAATCACTTGAAAGCATACTTAATTCAGACTTAAATTTGGCATGACCTGATTTGACATATATTTCTGTTATGTATAAGGCCAGATTCAAAAGCTTCATCAAATAATTTTTACAGATTTGTTTCAGATACGCCCATGTGTTAATAGGGAAGTACATTCTGTCCAGAAAAAGCATGTATTCATTGGAATGCACTGTACTTCGGCACAGGGCCGGTGTTATGGGCGGCCCTTAGGGGGCCTGGCCCGCCCTACCGTACCTCCTTGCCTGTCCAAATAAAATACTGAAATATTGATCATTTATTTGACCGAGACGCGCGCCGACAGAAAGACACATCAATCTTAGATAAAGCATCCGAGTGAGCGAAACAGCGCCCCTCTGTCTTACTATATGTAGCCCATGTATCTGATTCTGTCTGGACAGAAATAGTATGACATGCCATGCTCTTTTGGTCAAGACAGCATCAGATTCATGGCCTACACATACTGGCCATGTATCTGATGCTGTCTTGACCAAAAGAGCATGGCATGTCATACTATTTCTGTCCAGACAGAATCAGATACATGGGCTACATATAGTAAGACAGAGGGGCGCTGTTTCGCTCACTCCGGTGAGAGAGTTTCAGCAGAGAGGAAGAGGCAAAGTGAGAGGGCTCACTCTCGCCAAAATCTGTCCAGAATAAGTCCAATGCGTTTCTATGGGCATAATATGCAGACCTAAGTTTGTCAACTGCCTACCCACCATTGGGACAATGACACCCATTGTTAGGGCAGAGATGTGAGCAGATTATATACAGATCTCTGGTTTCAGCCTATCGCGAATTGGAAAGGAAAGTCGGAGGGTGCACAGTGCTCTGTTAGAATGCTGGCTTCCCCTAAAGTAAATAGATGTTTTGCCCAAATTATATAATTACTCCTGTCTAAATAAAAACATTCAAAATACTTTACCAGAGAGCACGACTTAGCCACAGAGGATCATTAGCCTCTTAAAAAAACATGGTAGCTGTGGATTGTTTCAAATCACAAGTGTGTAGGCCTATGCCTATTTGGGAAGCCAGCAATTTGGGTAGTGCTCGTGGCAATAGGTCTAGCTGGTTGAGTTGCGGCTGTCAGTGAAAAGCATCTAAAATATGTGTGAAGATAATGTGTCTTGGGTATAATTTCAAATGTTGCAACAAGAACATGGGGAGGGGTGTGTGGCGAAGATATGGCCTGTCTCTCTCCAGAATGCACTCAGCTCTCCAGAATGCACTCAGCTGTTTCCCGCCAATTATTGCGCATTCATTGTTTCATTCTGTAAAGTGTTTGCCCTTTTATTGTTTATTTTTTGATCAATTCCCCATTACATATGTCACCAGTAGGTCTAGTAAATGTACTGTTAATCCATGTCATTTGGTCACATTAATTTCTGTTAATGCATGTATTAATTGCAGTCATTTAGCTGGCCTGCTGCGTGCAAATGTAGGAAAGTGCCGATTTGGCTGATTGTCTTAACTCACCACGCCCACCACTAATAAGCTGAGCTTCTCAGTCATTTTTCCTTCACCTCACACATTGTAAACAAAGTCTGTATTTTTAACATCCATGATAATTCCTCAGTATTTGGAAAATCTGTTCAACACTCCTGGCCTCCATAATCACCAAGCCTCAGTGTGAAAGGACAAAATATCATGATCTGATGATCCCATATATCCAGTGGAAACATCATAAAAAACAGCTGTCTGTCCAGAGCTCACTTGTCTAGGCTAGGCTAGTTGATACTATGTTTCAAGTTCGCTAGCGACAGCTTCTGGCCAAACCCAGTTGATGATTTGATACAATGTTGCACTTCACTAGCAATAGCTCAGGTCAAAGGGAGGCAGGGAGGTGGAGTAGAGAGATGAATGTGATTGAAAGAACCAGACTTTTCATCTGGATATTTTTTACTGTCTTTATGCCTATGTATTTTACTTAGTTGACGATGGAAGTTATAGGCCTCCCGCTACCTCTGAGTTCTATGTGCTCATTTCTTTAGCTATAGACACAGTGTATCAATGTTTCCATATGGCAGAGGCTGGTGCTCTCGCCTCAGTTGAATTTGAATTTTTAGATTTTTATCATTTTACTTTAGATTTTCATGATTAACCACGTGACAATGATTTTGAGAAAAAATATAATAATCATAACTGTCACGCAGATTGGTAGAAATGGTAGGATAAATTGCAAGCTTCCCAAAAATTCTAACTCACGAGCTGCCTATGGTCTTTACTATAACACGCATTTAAAAAAATTGTGAACGTGCAAGCGTGTGCACACATAGGAGGTGTCCCGTGAAAAAATGTGCCCGCCTCAGAGGCCCGTCCAACTGATTCGTTCTGGCGCCGGTCCTGCTTCGGCATTGTAAAGGTCTGCCACATCTCTCCTTTGAAAAATAACTAACTGAGTCATTGGATTATGATGAGAGGATGTCAGTGCAGTCAGCTCTCTCCTGTTGCAACAAGCATCCCTCTCTCTCTCTCTCTCATCTGTACAGTATGTACGCTGTGTCGTCGACGAAAACACCAAGGAGCTACTGTGTCAATTACACCACAGATATCACATAACACACACACACCTATCAAAGAGAAGGACTACCTGTACCTGGTACCCACACATGCTGGGAAAAAGAACAGAAAGTCCACAGAGAAGGATCAGGAAATAAAAGCAGTGGGGGAAGCCCAGTTGGTGCTGCTGGGTAATGAGGCCTACAAATATGGCTACCCTGCTGTGACTGAGAGAGAGGGGAATGATAGCATGATAGCATG